CAGCCTGTAAGTACATTTTCATATTTAAAGGATTTGCCACTGACGATTCAAACACGAGTCGTTTCTCCGATCACAAATGCAGACTTGGTTTTATGTTTAGGCGGCGCAATGCAACGCAACATGTAAAAAGACAGTATAAGTCATTATAATCAGTAATTATGTCCCCCAAAATAATGTTCTTTTTTAGCAACATCATATGACCCCTTTAAGTAATATAATCTGACTACTTTTTGATTACTTTTAGATTACTTTTGACCTAACATGTTTATCTCGTTGATTTGAATAGGATAATCTTGTACCATATTGATATATAAATTATAAGAGAAAGAAATAGTATGGTTTTCCAAACCGGGATTTGTGAAGGAACTGCAGGGAGTTTGTAAGTTATTAATTAAATAATAAAAAAAGTATAATTAAATACATTAAAATAAATTTTAAAAAGTTACTAGATGACTTTCTGAATGTATTTTAAAAAAGGGATTTTAAATCCTTTAAAGAATTATCTATAAAAATTATGAGAAATTTACTGCTATTGTGTGAATAACATGTAATCATGTAATAATTAATAAAGTAACTTGAATCTGATTAGGAGTATTTTAAAATGTAATATAATCTAATTACAAGTACTTTATTTCTGGAATCTGATTATGTAATCCAGATGACAATAATTACTACCCAGCATTGTACAGTATATTAAAATGTGCACATGTGCTTGGACCCTGTGTTTGGACGTTAGTTTTTTTTTTTTAGATGAACAATGAATTTTGATCTTGTTCTTTTGCATCTGGTGTTTATGCATGTTTCACTCCAAAATTTTTGAACTGTTTATTATTAGAATGAGTGGGCAGCCTTAGTCATCAGCCTAAATGGCCTTTCACACAGGACGCGGAAAACGCTTCCTGTACCTTCAGATACAAAGCGATTTGCGCTAAGCTGGCCAGAGCAAAGTAGGCGGAGTTTTCAAAACTTTTAGCGGGAGTTCTATACGTCTAGTCATTTGTTGTTCCAACTTTTCGGTCAGCAGCAACATATGTGTCTGTCCCGTGCTAAGAAGCGAGCGATAGCACTAACCCTGCTAGTAAGAAGAAGAAAGAGAGCTGCAAGGAAGAAGAGGCTGTGGGTGCATTAAACAGGTCGAAGGCTTGCGATGGAGATTCGTTTGGATGCCCCGTTTCTATTGGCCGCGCGGGTAAAAGTCAGAGCGCAGCGGCAAAAGTTGAACGATTTTGAACTTTGACCGCGGCGCGCTCCACTGCGCGTGCGCTTTGGTCGGCGCAGCAACAAACCGCCTTTGCCCGGCGCAAGCCATTGAAATGAATGGGTCTCATAGCGCAGCGCTTTCCGCGTCCGGTGTGAAAGGCCCTTAACTCTTACATTAAAACATTAAAGTGTTTGGTTGCATGCCAGTCTTTCTGCTTGTCTACTGTTGGCTTCGATTAGTGGTGACCATTGCTTACAGTCTATAGGATTAGACTTTGCCACTGGTACATCAGCCTAATCACTCGGCACTCACGAGCCAGACTGAACTCAGAGCCCTTGTTCCTGGACTTAATCCAGCTGTGAAGAAGGGAGGAATAGGAAAAAAAGAAAGATAAGTTTAAATTGGAGTGAGCAGGAATGGATGTCCCCAGCTAGAGTGATTGTCAACAGAAAATGAACTTTCTTGTCTTTTTTTTTTTCATTATAACTGAATTTTGTCCAGGAGTATCATGACCATAATTTTTTTCGTTTGTCATACAGTATTCTTTGCAACCTCTTTGAAATGACTCGTGAGCAGTACATACTTTCTATGCTTTTAGATCCTCTGAAGAATAAACAGTGCTGAGACAAGCAGCACTGCACAGGTGCAACGTTGGCAATATATGCATAAATACCATTTTCAAGAATTGCTGAAAACTGGAAAAGTGCCTCTTGAAGCAGAGTATTTCCAAGTTATTTATAATAGCGCTAACATAAGATGAGATCTTTATTGTTATGTGAATGTTATCCTCACAGTTCCGTGAAAAATATCCTTCATGACATTCAAAAGCAAAAAGCTGAATTTTAAATTGGAACTTTTAAGATTCTAAAAAGGGCACAAAAGACAATAAATAGTATTATAAAAGTGCCCAATATGACTTGTGTTCCATATTTTCTCCAGCTGTATAATAGTTTTATGTGATGAATAGATTGAATTCTTTATTGAATCTTAATTTTTTAAACTTTGTCACTGACTTCCCTGGTCTCAAAATTAAAGAATCTTTCAATAAAAATCATTATTAAAGCACATCATAAAGGTAAACATTTAAGAACAGAGGTTGCTTTTGATCGAAGTCTGTATTACTGATTTATCACTTTCTGACCAGGTGTCTCTTCTCTCTTCCTTTTTGCTGGTCACAGAGACGTAGCCCGGTAAGTGTCTTTTAACATTATTTTTCTGTTCTCCAAGTGCTTGAACCACTTTGTGATTCGGTTGAAACAGTTATACAGAAGCAGAACTTTTGAAGATACCTTTGTTAAAAGAATAGATGTTTAGAGAGACATGATACTTCCATGTAATGATATTTCCATGTAGAAATGCAAAGGTCAGAATCATTTTTTTTGTTAATAATGATTGCTCTTTATAGACATCACTATTTGTTAACATTAGCACTTTTATTCACTTTCTCTTTCACTCAACTGGTCGTTTCTAGCTAATTAAATGGCACATGTGAATAAATATATTGCTTACTCGTGTGCTATAGACCCATGTGACCAAAAAAATGCTTGCTTTGGAGATCAAACTAATGCCTTTTTATGATTTGTAGTCTGGGTGTTGTAGAGCCTTGCCTAAAGCAAGTTCTTAATAATTAATAATAATAATAATTTAAGTTCTTAATCTAAGTATGATATATCTGAATATTCATCTGAATATCATTTCATATTTTAGTGCAAAGAATGCCGTTTTGATGATTGAAAAACAAATGCTGTTCTTCTATTTGAAATTCACAGCCACCATGAAGAACCTGATGTAATAACATTGATGCCAGTGTTATTTGTTACTAATGCATCAGTGAGTTAGATAAGAGTCAATCATAGGAATCAGCGCTTCTGTCAGCTGTAGAATGCATTATGAAACAGCAATTTACAGGGCATCAAGGCAATGCCTCTGTCTGAATTTGACTCACCATTCCCTTGATTAAATAGACCCAAAATGCACTCTTCTCAGCTGATGAGAGATATGGTGTTATGAGCTTTTAGTCTTATGAATGTTTTGGCCTTCTGTTTGTTTCAGGGGCTGGCAAAAAGAAATCCCGGTAAGTACACATAATGCAATTTGTTCTTGGGTTTATGAGTTTGATGTCTATGTCGATTCAAATCTGACACTAAATAGTTGTCTGGCATTAAAATGTGAATATAGAGGTGTGCTTGCATGTGTATGAGTGGGTGCAGTTTATTTGCGTTCATTTGATCATGCTGTTAACCTCAGGTGAAGAAATTGCAAGACCGAGACGAGCTGTTCCAACGCCTGCACCAGCTCCTGCCCCTTCCCCTTCCCCGACACCTGCACCCCCTCCTGAGCCTGCTAGGTATCTATAAGCACACTTACACACTTTATGAAACAGTCATTTGGTCTGTTGTTTCCAAGTTTATTATTGTTTTGTTACCTAAAATAAAGGAAAAAAATGTTTGCAGAAGACCACAAATGTGCACACAAAGATTAAAAATGATAAAGAAAATTATTTTTCAAAGCTGGATGATCGGATTGAATTAATCTTCCAAGCCTGACTTCAGACTGCATTCTGTAAAAAAATGCCCGATATGACAGGAAGTGAATGTCTAAAACTCAGGTTGGCATTTAGGTGCAGGTAAATTACATTTTGTGGTTAAATGTTGCATTTTAATGCTAAATGTAGTGGTAAATATTTATAAGATAATTTCATTCTTCTCAAGTACTGCAGTATGCGGTGTCATTGTGAATTTGACAAAGAAACTGCAGTTCTGATAAAGTGCAGTGTGTGTTTGTTATCACTTGTAGATGGAGCAATTTGTGCTGGAACAAAAATGCCTGAAATTGAAACTAAACAAAAAAAAGTATTTATGTATCATTTAAGCAATTAAACTACAGTAAGTAAAACTTTGATTAAAAACGTCTCCAGGTTACGCATGTAACCATGGTTCCCCGAAGGGAATGAGAAGCTGCGTCGAAACACTATGGGAACGCCTTCAGCATGACCACGCTCTGAATCACATGTGTAATCAGTCCCATGGATGGGCGAGACGTAACGGGCGGGGTGACGTAACGACCAGGAAGCTTAAAAGCACGTGCAGTGGAACCGGCGTCAGCTTCTAGGAATGAAGCAAGCGCTCGCAGGGATGCCGGAAGTATGGCACTGAGACGCAGCGTCTCGTTCCCTTCGGGGAACCATGGTTACATGCGTAACCTGGAGACGTTCCCCTTCAGGAACTCGGGCTGCGTCGGAACGCTATGGGAACGCTATGGGAACGAGAATGCCCACGCCGGCAGACTTACAAATCCCTGCCTAGTGTGGAAGAGCACAGCTAAAGTGAGAGAATGGAGCCAGGAGTGGCGCAGAATGCAGGTAGGCACTTGACAAAGTAGGCGGGGACATCCCGCCCAAAGGCCAACTTCAGAAGGAGTGAGTCTTGACCCCCAATGGAGAGGGCAGATCAGAGGACTCAAGGCTATGGAATAGCATCCTGATCCACCGCTTATCAAAAGCTTCTCTGACTAGAGGCCTCAGCGCACCGTGGAAACGTGTAACTAGGGGGTGTCTGCCCACTGACTGGCCACCAGTAGGCCGCAATGGCCGCCATGTAGACCTTTAGGGTGGAGTGGGTCAACCCTGCGGAGAGACGGGCCTGCAGGAACTCCAGAACTGTGCCAACCGGGCAGTAGACTGGGTCGAGCTAGCGGTCTCCGTACCAAGAAGTGAAAAGCTTCCACTTCAGGGCATACAGTTTCCTCATAGAGGGAGCTATGGATTGGAGGATGGTCTCAACAACCTCGGTTGAGAGACCGGAAGCTACGAGTTGTGCCCCCTCAGGGGCCACACCCATAACTTCCACAGCTCCGGGCAGGGGGGAATATCGTGCCCTCCGCCTGTGAGAGGAGGTCCCTCCTGACGGGGATCTCCCATGGACTCCACAGACCGCGGGCCGAGCGGCCACTCATGACCGCTCCCCCAACCAGTGAGGGGCACGTCCGTCGCTAGTGTTATGCGGTAACTCTCAGTAGCTCCCAGCACCGGGCCCTGAGACAAGAACCAAGGTTTCCTCCACATGTCTAAGGCACAAAGGCAGTGCCACGTGACCTTGAGTATTGGTCTTGAGCAAACCTCAGGAAATTCCTGGGATGAGGAAGGATGGAGATATGGAAGTATGCGTCTTTTAGATCAATCGTGACAAACCAGTCCTCGGACCTGATCTGAGACACGATTTGTTTGAGTGTGAGCATCCCGAACTTCAGTTGCATGACTGGGCGGTTCAACTGACGCAGATCTAAAATGGGACGCAACCCTCCATCTCTCTTTGGAACAATGAAATACCGGCTGTAGAACCCCGACTCTCTTCCGCGAGGAGGGACCACCTCAATAGCCTCCTTCCTCAAGAGAGTATCTACTTCTTGTTCCATTATCAGAGCCTGCTCGGGACCCACCAAGGTGGGGATAACCCCGTTGAACTGAGGCGGAGGAGAACCAAACCAGCAGGGGATGGCTGTAATAGCTGCTCTAGAGACCTCCGTGGAGGTAGCGAGCCTCTTAGCACCGCTACGTTTCCGGGCGGTAACTGAGAGAAGAGCTCGCCGGAGACCGCTGCGCTCTGGAACACCGGCAGGGTTGGCAGACTGATCTCCTGAGGGCACTGAGGAGAGACAGGCACCGTGTGATGCGGTGTACACCGCTCTTTCCCAGAGGGGCCTGCCCTCCGAGGTCCTGAGCCACAGCATCAGGACTCTCATAGCTGAAGTCTCCTATTGAAAATGATGGCCCTCAGACCCGCGTCATCTGCTAGGAAGACTAGACTGATAGAACCAGAGCCTGCTCGGGGCAGGACCCAATGTGGCACGCTTGGCAGGGGCTCCCACACCGCCAGGTGACCTACTAAGGGAACCAGTCTCATGAGACTGGCCTCTGGTGCACTAAGAGCGGCTAGCTCGGTGCCCTGAAGTGGCGGACCGGCAGGGGATGGTCGTACTAACTGCTCTAGAGACCTCTGTGGAGGTAGCGAGCCTCTAAGCATCGCTACGTTTCCCGGGCGGTAACTGAGAGAAGTGCTCGCTGGAGACCGCTGTGCCCTGGAACACGTGCAGGGTTGGCAGACTGATCTCCTGAGGGCACTGAGGAGAGACGACAAGATCTACCTATTGAAGAATTGATCGAAAAAGACATCCCAGATTGTACTTCAAATTTGAGGCCTTTTACTTAGAATTTTAATTAGTGATGCGCCGGTCATAGCTGATTCAGAATTCAGAATTTCTTTTCTTTCTTTTTTTTTTTATCTAGCAAATTGGATACTGATATTGATTTTTAAGCAAATTTATGTATTGGCTATTTGCTTTATAACAAACAAACTGGCTTTAAACAAAAATATCTAGCCATTTGAAATTAGAGGCAACCACTGCATTTTAATCATGATCTGCTTGGGCAGTTGTTTTTGATTTGATTTAGATTAATTTCAGGATTTAAAACAAAAACAGAATGGTCTGACTTGGTGTTATTTATTTATTTGCTACATAAAAACATACGCACGAAACAAAAACAGCAGGTCTGAATGAGACGCACTCTCTGACAGCAGGTGGAACCTATGAACAGGGTTGCCAGGTTTTCGCAATAAAACTAGTCCAATCGCGTTTCGAGGTAAAATACGGCGGGGATCTTCCAGTAAAATTCACATTCCAGGGTCTAAATATCACGTTATTGGGGTCGTTGGGGTCGCTGGACATGAACAA